AAAACGTGCAGTGCAGTACTAGTAAATGTGATCATCTCTGACATCACTGTAGATGGTGATAAGGTGAGCTAAAAATGGTGTAAAAGCACTGAGGCTCGTCTTGTGATACAAAATTTCGTTTATTTTGACAGCCTCAAATTTATCAAAAGCTTAACCTTGATTGATAAGTCATAAAGAAGAATAAAAAAGTGTGTATTTGCGAAAACTTATACACGAGTGTGTGTAGCAAAAGCCAATTGTCGTGGGTACAAGACTTGATGCACATGGTGGACGAATCACTCATAATGGAATAGCTCATGTTGATATTGGGTTTCAGCGATTGGGCAGAAATTGTTTGTGAGAAATAATACACGGTTAGAACAAAAGAGAGGCGTCAGAAGAATGATTTAAGGCCAGTTAATAACTTTTCTTGTTGCTCAGGATTTTGTTTATAACTGACAGGAAAGGAGAATTTTATGTTCCTATTTTATTGTACAGTGCCAATCGCAGTGGTCCATTTGTAATCCCTTTGTGAAAAGGAGTAAGCATATACTCCGTTGGAAAACGTTGTGTTCCTCATAATAAAGAAGTTGACATCCATATATTCTCTTCCTTATGTGTATCACTTCTAAATGTCTGTCAAAGATCAGATCCAGGCTAGACTAACAGGATCGGGGGTCAGGCTTGCAGACTTGATTGATGCATGTCATCATTTCGCAATTGTGTAAATCGATGCTCATGATGTCTGTCACTGGATTGTCTGGTCAAAACTCCATTATTAACAGACTGAAGACATATAATTGGAATATTGCTGAGCGGGGCATTAAACAAAAAAACAAACAAGCATGCGACAAATTAGGCATCTTGGCACAGCATTTGGGAACAGCTTTATTAACTCAGCATGCCAGAAAGGTAAGCTTATGTTGTTGCTAGGCAATCGTCATCATCATCCATAAGCTTTTTACACCTGAGTTTGCGTCTATGGCGGCAGTGTCCATAAGCTTTTTAGAACACCTGAGCTTATGTCTATGGCGGCAGTGTCCATAAGCTTTCTAGAACACCTGAGTTTGTGTCTATGGCGGCAGTGTCCATAAGCTTTCTAGAACACCTGAGCTTATGTCTATGGCGGCAGTGTCCATAAGATTTTTAGAAGACCTGAGTTTGTGTCTATGGCGGCAGTGTCCATAAGATTTTTAGAACACCTGAGTTTGTGTTTACATTTCCAACTTCTTCTCTGAAATGGATGGTGAGTTCTGCTGAAAGTTTGTGTAGCTGTTTGTTACTAAAAGGTGTTCAAATGTGATCCAGGCATCAAAATTGAAATTTCAATATGGCCGCCAGGTAGCCATGTGTATCTTCTTAAAAACTCAAAGGGCCAAAGAGGCCTGAAACTTGGTTGACGAGATGGTCACCTTGTGTAGTACCAAGTTTGTTCAAGACATCTTGATCTGAAACCAGATGTGGCTGCCAGAGTCCATTTGGGAGTTTTCAATTGAAATCATCTTTAAAAACACACTGGATCAGCGAAAATGAAACTTCACTTCATTATTGCCACCAGTGATGACACCAGAATTTGTTAAAGAGCTTTAAGTCAGATTTTCAACATGGCAGCCACAGCAGCCATATTGAAAATGCTAAACATAGCCTATATTCATGACATTAAGTACATATATAGTAAATAATAGTGGAACACAACATGTATATTCTGTTTTTGTGATATTTTGAATTTGACTTATATTTGACCTTTGCACTTTGACCTTATGGCTATCATGCAGCCATTTTGTTTCAAACTGTAATGACAACTGTAAAACTATGTGTGTAGTTTGTTGTGGGGATCAATTTATCAAAGGTTCCATATTTTTGGTGATATTTTAAATTTTGATCTATTTTAGACCTTTATACTTCCGTGAAGATTCCGGGGTAGAATAGGTCTTCAGCAACCCATGCTTGCCGTAAAAGGCGACTATGCTTGTCGTAAAAGGCAACTAACGGGATCGGGTGGTCAGGCTCGCTGACTTGATTGATGCATGTCATCAATCATAATTGCGTGGATCGATGCTCGAATCAATCACTGGATTGACTGGATCCAGACTCGATTATTTACAGACCGCCGTCATATAGCTGGAATATTGCTGAGTGCGGCGTTAAACAACAAACCAACCAACCAACTTCAAGAATGCTCCTAAATTCTCTCTCAAAAAACATTTCCTCACATTGTAAATTTCTTCCCCTCAGAAACCATTGAAGTTGAAACTTAACATGCTTGTTTCCACCAATTGAATCTGATTTTCAACATGGATGCCATCGCAGCCCTGCCTTCAGGGGATGAATGAAGGATTGGTGGGCTTTGAGTATAATTTGTTTCAGTGTGGGAATCCATGTTAAACTAAGCTAGCAGTATAAAATCTGCTTAGGTCTGGACTGGTACAAGCACACATGTGCATGCACATTACTGTAGAAGTGAAATAATTTTGAATGCGACATTTAACCCCATTTCACGTCACCAAAATGCAGGTTTGTGTCTGTAACATCTCTTACATTGACAGACTGAAGAAGCGGAACTCTGGCACGTATGCTTCTCCTAATGATGACGACATATGTTGTTCAGATCATTAGGACTTTTCTGTGTTTTTGTGAATTTATGAATATTGCAATTAGAAAATGTATTCTCCTTAGAAGGTTTATGAGTTGAAACTGTGTATGAAGTAAATTTAACTGTTGTGTATTGGAAAAGTCTTCTACAATAGTACATTCCAGCGACAGAAACTAACATTTTTAGTCCACTAGTCCTTATAATGATAATAAAGAGCAAAACCCTTAGAAATGGCAAATTTCTACTAGTCCATATGATACCTTTACTATTGGGCAGTTTGACAAGGACTAATGGACTAGTGCCAATTTCTATCCTTGCATTTATTCTTGCACCTTGTGGATAGTTCGTTACTTGTTTCTAAGGGTGTGCTGTATTATCAGTGTATCGGTAGTTTGAGGTTCATTCTTTCCATGATACGTATCACACTATTGTTTTATCAAGCTTGATATATCAGGTGATTTCAAATAGTGATTTTTGTCATGTGTTTGTCATGTAATTTCTTGGTAAAAACCTTCACTGCCCCACAGCATGCATCCGGGGCAGCAAGATTTATGCGTATTTATTGGCTGAGTAAACATCATGTTGTACCTGCATCTTGTTTTGTTCCATTTATGAACTTCACTTCATACCCTATTGCATCAGATTGCTTCAGAATTCAAAATTTAGAATTATACAATATATTGTGATATGTATAGAGAATCTCATCCGAGTGTCTTTTGATATCCAATATACCAACAAGTTATATTTGATATCAAAAGATACAAGGGTGAGATTTTATTTATCATCCGACATCATTCTTCCAACTTTTTCAGTTTGTAGACAGTAATAAGCAGTGTCTTAGTGTAAAAAGTACTGCTTACAGCTTCAGTAGCAGAGCCACTAGTGATGTCATTTGATTGTGATGTCATGGTAACCAATGATGTCACAATGGTCTGCAAAGCATTGTGATGCAATTTCATTTCTGTGTAGATATAGCTTGATCTCACCCAAGCCAGATCCCTGTGGGAGCCAGTTTTGGATGATAAATGGCAATACGGCCTTGTGCGTCTCAAAGTATTGTGATACACGTTAAACCTCCAATACCCATCCCTAATTGTTTCATATTTCTTGATATTCTTGTCATCAGTATTACTAGAAAAGGTATCTGTTTGTCAATAATGATGACAACTTTTTATAAGTGGTTGTCTTTGTTGACATCTTAAGCTGTTGACAGTGTATCAGGCTTTCGAATCGGCTCAGTTTGTAGAACATTGACATTGTCATATAAAATGTTCTAAACATAGCTTTCATTTTTTGTCAAAAGAATGTCCGTAGAAAAGTTGTTGAAATCATGAAAATGTCTTTATGCTATTTGTCTCTAGCAAAATCACTGATATGTCCAGGTGAGCTACAGTGTTGTGGCACTGTAGCTCACCTGACAGAATGTGGCCTGTTTGTCTGGCGTCCAGTGTGAGCATCTTTTCTATGGAAACCACGACGCCAATAAATAAGAACCTTCACATGCTTGTTCCTACCAATGATGACATCTGAATTTGTCCAAGAGGTACGAAGCTGATTTTCAATATGGCTGCCATGGCCATTTATGGCCATTACTCAGTTTTATTCAAAATGTGGTAACATTTAGTACATATTAAACTGAAGTAAATCTTTTACAATATTCTTAGGTTTCACCTTGATTATTCCTTTGCACTTTTATCATACTGAAATTTGAAACATATTTTGGCCTTTACTCAGTCATTTTTACACCAATGGAATGAAATTAGATACTTATGTAGTATTGGGGCTCAACATATATGTTCCGTTTTTTGTGTGATAATTTAAATTTAAATTTTAAAGATGCAAAACCTTTTCTAGTGAGTTAATGGATTCAAACTACCTCACTACCCGGAAACAGGAAAAGAAACAATATCTAAGAAAACACTCAGCTGTATGCAAACTAACATGGTGATGATAAGATTGTCTCACTGCGTAGCAACATGCTTGCCATAAAAGGCGATTTGGTGGTCAGGCTCGCTGACTTGGTTGATGCATGTCATTGTATCCCATTTGCGTTGATTGATGCTCATGATGTCAATCACTGGATTGTCTGGTCAAGACTGGATTATTTACCGTTGACATATAGCTGGAATATTGCTGAGTGCAGCATTAACAACATTGGACCCTTTGTTTGACTGTAAAATATGGGATTCGGTAAGGTAGTGAGTTGCCACTGTGCTAGCATTAAAGAGAACAGATGTCAGCCCTCTAATTGATGCCCAGTCGATGGCTTCCACAAACTTAGTAGACACCGGAGCATCTAATAGGGGAAATTTATACAGTAGCCCAGATTGTTTATCAGGCACTCGTCACGATATGGCTGAAATATTGCCGATGTGACGTTAAATATTAACTCACTCACTCATTATCAGGCACTCGATTTTTATTTCAGATCAAGAATTCATTAACCAAACAGAGAATGCCAAAAGCAGCAAAAACATCTTCTAAGAAACATCAAAGGGAGACGAAAGAGTACAACACAAGAATAAGGACAAGGACTAGAGGAAGTCTTCCGAATACAGCTACAAACACCAACAGCCAGCCCCCGAGTTTGGTGAACGCTGCTGCCCAGGAGTGCGCCAGCTTGTCTCAACATGCTGGGACCAAGAATAAGAGAGTCCCTACAATCTCGAGAGGTAGAGGGAGATGGCAGTCTGGAGAATATTGCCTTGAAGTGTGCCAGACAAAAGTTGAAAATCTTCACCAAGGATACAGTAGAACAATGGGCAGTCTGGGTCATGAGACAAACTCAGGAGGATCTAGCAAGAAAACAAATTGTGAAAGATATGCTACATCGGGCGGGATGAAGCTTCGAGTTCGAGACAATCCTCAGGCATGTGGTGGAACTGTTGGGAGTTCTTGTAGACATCCTAACAAAAAACATTGTTTCAGATGTAAGAATTCTGCTTCCTCATCTGTTGTGGCATCAAATACTATGGGCAGGAGTGACAGCATCAGAGGAACTCGTTCTGGCAACAAAACTGACACTGCTAGAGAAACAAATCCTGCCAATAGGTCTGACCGTGTCAGAGGAACAAATACTATGGGCAAGGCAGACCATGTCAAAGGAACAAATAGCTCGGTCTCTGAGATAATTGATCTCACTGGAACAAACAGTGATGAAGACAATGAATCATTTCATGAGATAATTGATCTCACGGAAACGGACAGTGATGAAGATGGTGAATCATTTCATGAGCTCATGGAAGAAGATCCTGAAGATGTAGATGATGACTCAATGGTCGTCCGTGTCTTTAGTTTCATTGATAGAAAGGCGGAGGATTTAACAGAAGAGATAGAATTCACTCACCAAAGATTTAACAGGGCAAGACGCAATTTAGTACAGAAGTCAGAAGAATTTTATGACATTTATTCAAGTCTTGGAACTGAAACTCCTGGTAGAAATGAGGATGAGTTTTGCAAGATTGTGAAACAGTTGAAATGTTTTTCTGATGGAACTGGTGTGAGCCTGGAAGGTAGCAGCAGTGATCAGGTCCATCCAGCTTGGACAAAAGACACCAGGGTATGTGAAGGGGATGGAGATAGCAAGAACATGGATGTTGAACAAATTGAACCTGATACTAAAACACCAGATCCAGTCAAGACAGAGACTAGCCAAACTGATCCAATAAGAGAAGAGACTGACAATACTGATGCTATCAGTGCAGCAACTGGCACAACTCACCCAATCAGAGCTGAGGCTGACAAAACTCATCCAATCAGTGCAGGGGATGACAAAACTTATCCAATCAGTGCAGAGACTGGCACAACTCATCCAATCAGAGCTGAGGCTGACAAAACTCATCCAATCACGGCAGAGAGTTGCACAACTCTTCCAGTCAGAGCAGAGAGTGGCAAAACTCATCCAGTCAGGGCAGAGTTTGGCAAAAGTGATCCAATCAGAGCAGAGGTATGCAAAAGTGATCCAATCAGAGCAGAGGCTGTCACAACTGATCCAATCAGCAAAGAGAGTGGCAAAACTCATCAACTCCATGCAGAGACTGATAAAACTCATCCAATCAGAACACAGACTGACAAAACTCATCCAGCCAGAGCAGAGACTGGCAAAACTCATCCAATCAGTGCAGAGACTGGCACAACTCATCCAATCAGAGCTGAGGCTGACAAAACTCATCCAATCACGGCAGAGAGTTGCACAACTCTTCCAGTCAGAGCAGAGACTGGCACAACTCATCCAGTCAGAGCAGAGAGTGACAAAACTGATCCTATCAGAGCAGATGCTTGCACAACTCATCCAATAAGCACAGAGGCTGGCACAACTCATCCAATCAGTGCAGAAACTGTCACAAATCATCCAATCAGTGCAGAGACTGGCACAATTCATCCAATCAGTGCAGAGACTGGCACAATTCATCCAATCAGAGAAGAGATTGACACAAGCACTACATTCCAAGAAGAGACTGATAAAACTCATCCAATCAGAACACAGACTGGCACAAGTCATCCAGCCAGAGCAGAGGCTGGCACAACTCATCCAATCAGTGCAGAGACTGGTTCAATTCATCCAATCAGAGAAGAGACTGGCACTGGTGATCCATTGAGAGACAAGACTAAAAAGAATTCTCATAAGACTCCTACATCTTTGATCCAGTTTGAGCCTCAAGATATTTATGAACACTCCAAACCAACAACTTTGTCAGATAGTTTGTCTATGGTTTATCATAGTATGCAGGGCCTTCATGGCAAGAGAAAACTTTCCTCAAGTGTCCATGAAACTTATGGAAAGAGCAAAATACTAAAACTGACTGATGTTTCTTCAATTTCGTGTGACATTGTGTCAAGGTCATTATGGAATGATTTTTGTATCACGACCGAATGCACTGATGTAGAGCATGTGTCCTGCAAGACAGCAGAGTGTGACACTTCTCCCAAACAAGAACCTGCAATATTTCCATCAGAGACAGCTGGTACCAAAAGTGATTGTGAAAGAAAAACAAATACAGGGGCAGAGAATGACTCCAAGAAAGATAGCTCTACTGGGCCAGACATTTACACAGTGGCTAAGAATGACACTGGGAAACATAATACTGATATTAGGATTGTTATTTACCCTGGAAGAGAAGTCATTACTGTGACCGACATTGCCAGAGGAACAAATACTGGGACCAAGACTGACACTGCTAGAGCAACAGATTCTGCCAACAAGACCGACAGTGTCAAGGGAACAAATTATGTGACAATGTCTGACACTGCTAGAGGAACTAATACTGTGAGTAAGACTGACAGTGTCAGAGGAACAAACACTTTGGCCAAGGCTGACTCTGCAAGAGGAAAATATTCTGGCAACAAGACAGACAGTGTCGAAGGAACTCATTCTGTCAACAGGACTGACAGTGTCAGAGGAACAAATACTGTGGTCAAGACTGACAGTATCAGAGGAACAAATACTGTGGCCAAGACTGACAGTGTGAGGGGAACAATTTCTTTGACCAAGACTGACAGTGTCACAGGAACAAATACTGTGGCCAAGACTGACAGTGTCAAGGGAACAATTTCTGTGGCCAAGACTGACAGTGTCAGACGAACAAATACTATGGCCAAGACTGAGAGTGTCAGAGGAACAAATACTGTGGCCAAGTCGGACACTGCTAGAGGAACAAATATTGTGAGCAAGTCTGACAGTGTCAGGGGAACGATTTCAGTAGTCAAGACTGACAGTGTCAGAGGAACAAATTCTGTGGCCAAGACTGACAGTGTCAGAGGAACAAATACTGTGGCCAAGACTGACAGTGTCAGGGGAACAAATTCTTTGACCAAGACTGACAGTGACAGAGGCACAAATACTGTGGCCAAGACCGACAGTGTCAGGGGAACAATTTCTGTGGCCAAGACTGACAGTGTCAGAGGAACAAATACTGTGGGTAAGACTGACAGTGTCAGGGGAACAATTTCTTTGACCAAGACTGACAGTGTCAGAGGAACAAATACTGTGGCCAAGACTGACAGTGTCAGGGGAACAATTTCTTTGACCAAGACTGACAGCTTCAGAGGAACAAATACTGTGGCCAAGACTGACAGTGTCAGAGGAACAAATACTGTGGTCAAGACTGACAGTGTCAGAGGAACAAATACTGTGGTCAAGACTGACAGTGTCAGAGGAACAAATACTGTGGCCAAGTCGGACAGTGTCAGAGGAACAAATACTGTGGCCAAGACTGACAGTGTCAGAGGAACAAATACTGTGACCAAGACTGACAGTGTCAGAGGAACAAATACTGTGGTCAAGACTGACAGTGTCAGAGGAACAAATACTGTGGCCAAGTCGGACAGTGTCAGAGGAACAAATACTGTGGCCAAGACTGACAGTGTCAGAGGAACAAATACTGTGGCCAAGTCGGACAGTGTCAGAGGAACAAATACTGTGGCCAAGTCGGACAGTGTCAGAGGAACAAATACTGTGGCCAAGTCGGACACTGCAAGAGGAACAAATACTGTGGCCAAGACTGACAGTATCAGGGGATCAAATTCTGTGGACAAGACTAACAGTGTCAGAGGATCAAATTCTGTGGACAAGACTGACACTGCAAGAGGAAGAAATTCTGTGACCAAGACTGACAGTATCAGAGGAACAAATTCTGCCAAGAAGACTGACAGTGTCAGAGGAACAAATACCGTGAACAAGACTGACAGTGTCAGAGGAACAAATTCTGCCAAGAAGACTGACAGTGTCAGAGAAACAAATTCTGCCAACCAGACTGACAGTGTCAGGGGAACAATTTCTGTGGCCAAGACTGACAGTGTCAGAGGAACAAATACTGTGGCCAAGACTGGCAGTGTCAAGGGAACAATTTCTGTGGCCAAGACTGACAGTGTCAGAGGAACAAATACTGTGGCCAAGACTGACAGTGTCAGAGGAACAAATTCTGCCAAGAAGACTGACAGTGTCAGAGGAACAAATTCTGCCAACCAGACTGACAGTGTCAGGGGAACAGTTTCTGTGGCCAAGACCGACAGTGTCAGGGGGACAAATACTGTGGCCAAGACTGACAGTGTCAGAGGAACAAATACTGTGGCCAAGACTGACAGTGTCAGGGGAACAATTTCTTTGACCAAGACTGACAGTGTCAGAGGAACAAATACTGTGGCCAAGTCGGACAGTGTTAGAGGAACAAATACTGTGGCCAAGACTGACAGTGTCAGGGGATCAAATTCTGTGGACAAGACTAACAGTGTCAGAGGAACAAATACTGTGGCCAAGACTGACAGTGTCAGAGGAACAAATACTGTGGCCAAGACTGACAGTGTCAGAGGAACAAATACTGTGGCCAAGTCGGACAGTGTCAGAGGAACAAATACTGTGGCCAAGACTGACAGTGTCAGGGGATCAAATTCTGTGGACAAGACTGACACTGCAAGAGGAACAAATTCTGTGACCAAGACAGACATTATCAGAGGAACAAATTCTGTGGGACTGACTCACAGTGTCAGAGGAACAAATTCTGCCAAGAAGACTGACAGTGTCAGAGGAACAAATTCTGCCAACCAGACTGACAGTGTCAGAGGAACAAACTCTTTCACCAAGTCAGACTCTGCAAGAGGAACAGATACTGTGGCCAAGACGGACAGTGTTGGAGGAATACATGAGGTGGGGAGGACTGACCTAGATCGCAGTGTTACTGTGGCCAACAAGGGAAGCAAATCTGCATGTGGGAACATATCTGGTGGTTCATCCCAAGACCTTAAGTCCTGCAAAGACCCAGCTACATGTGTACAAGAAAACACAAGACAGGGCAACAGGAACGTTATGGATAACCCAACACCTGCAATACTTGTGTCTTCAGGTCTAAATAAGTCATTCCCTATATCAGAATCCAGTTCGGACAAGACTAACTGTATTACCAGTCAGTGTCCATCAGATCTGTCACAGCCACTTACAGGAAGAAATTTATTGAACAGGCTTCTGAAAGAGACACTATTTTGCAGAACAACTTCTGTGGATTTGCAAACAAATGTCATGTCTGACATTTCCAAGAATCTGGGAGTAGCAGCAGCAGCATCTTTGCATGAGCTGTTGAGACAAACACCATCTACTACAGCCTCTTCACTGACTGAAGTCAAAAAGGATGCCTCCAGGGCTGCTGTAACACATGGTCCAGAGCAACCTCAAGACCCGAAGAAGGATCATCGTGTCAGACAAATATTGGCTACAATTCAAAACTATGAAACTAAGGTTAAGACTGAACCTTTGGAGTATTTGTTGCCTTCACCTCCCAAAGGTGCTTTTTCAGAAAAGAACATGTCTGATTTGTCAGCATCTCCCCTGACCCTAGCTGTAAATTCACAGCTTACAATCAAGGGGGAAACGTCTTTACCAACAACAACAGTAAATGTAGCTCAAGAATTATCCGAGATTAACTCTTATTCGGTGTCACATGGATGCAGTTCGACACCAAATCTGAAGACTGAAGTATTTGCTTCTTCTGTGAACATGGGACAGATGTATGACTCAAATGACACTCTTAATATGCAAAACTCTACATCTTATGCTCAAAACAGAAGAAATCAGGATGGAAAAGAACCATCAGGTTCTGCATGTAAGACATCCTCTTATGGTTGGGCTGTCCCTCCATCTACCACACACCAAGCTGGACAGTCTCAAGGATCAAGTACATCTGGTTCTGTACTTAAGCCTTCCTCTAATGGTTGGGCTGTCCCTCCATCTACCACACACCAAACTGGACTGTCTAATGGATCAAGCACATCTGTCAGGAGGTCGGGGGAAGTAAGTATAGTAAGAGCAGTGCCAGTATCAGGTGTTATGTCTGTAGATCAAACAAAAACTCATGTGCGGAGGTACATTCAAGATCTGAGAGACTTGCCCACAAGACCATTCTCAAATACCTTTCAGTATGAATCTCAAATTAATGATGACAGTAGATCATATCACCTGCCAAATATGAAGTGTTCTCCACAGATATCAGTTCATGACTCTAAGCCATCACATCATTCACCATGTTTGAAAAGTTTGGTAAATAGGTCATCACATCACCCACAAAGGAAGGTACATTCAGCACAAATGTCTGTCAACGACTTCAGCCAATCACATTACGAGCCCCATGTAGAGCCTTCAACACAACATTTTGTTAATTGTCGGGGTGTATCACGTTCGGAAACCATATTCGAGGCATACACAAATGATGGCATCCAGTTGTAGGGGTATATCAAGTCCCAGACCATACTTGAGGAGACATTTACAAAATATGTCCCTTGATGCTTGGCGTCCATCAAATTGTACCCCATATCCAAGGCCTTCAGCACAGATGTCGGGTAATGGTGGGAGTCCACCACATGACCCACAATCCTTCAGGTGGTTCCAACCAATGTCATTTACTCACGGTAGGCCATCACATTGTACACCATACGATATGCCATTGAATGGAGGTAGTCCATCTTATCGCCCACCAAATATGGGAAATTGGTGGTGAACATGCCTACCTTGGTGGGTTATGTTTCTTAACAATCTCATTAAAATCAGATCTTAGTTTTCGCTAGAAAGTGGTTAAATGTAACATATGTTATATTTGGGATAACACTAGTAATTCTAGTAGTTTTGGGGGGATGAGTCCAATCGGTATTCGAACCCACACTGCCAGAGTGAGGCACCTAATCGCCAGCACACAAAGTCAAAGTCCAATCCCACTAAAATCAGATCTTATTTCTCGCTACCGTTAAACAGATATGAGGACATCCCATTACGGGTCACGTCAGAACGACCTTTTGCGAATTTTGACCGACCAATGAATTGACTGACAAGAAAACGACATTAGCCAATCAGAAGGCAGGTTTCTCGAGCTTTACGACACTAGTTTCAAACTGGCAACTACGCTTCGAAACATATTTTAACGTATTCTCGATTAAAAAAATTAAAACTGATAAGAAGAACATTCTGGAATGGCTTATAGATGGCCAAGATTGTATGGATATAATCATAAAACCCGTAACTGTCGTTCGGAATATCCTGTGTTAAATATTCCGTTGGTGCATGATTAGAAAACACATTCCTACAGTGACTTTGATGATCTGGTAAGCGACGCTCTGATTGGTTGGATGAAAGGTCATTCTGACTTGACCCTTAATGGGATGTCCTCAGATCTTTGTTTAGTGATAGCGAGAACTAAGATCTGATTTTAATGAGATTGTGTTTGTTAATGGTAGCAGATAATCATATTTCTTCCCCACCCCTGGCTTTCCCTCCTTGAATTGAGGCGGGGAAGGTTCAGCCGAGGTGAAATCTTCCCTCTCTTGGCTATTTCATCCAAGGCCAATTCTTATCCACTGTGGTCATCCCCCTCCCAAGGTCTTCAAACATGTCCAGACATGGTGGAAGAGTTTTTGAGGCCTGTCTCTCTCCTTTTGGATTTCTTCAGGAAAACCATATTTTATATATTTCGCATATTTTGGGAAACTTTATGCCAGAAATTTATAATTTCAGTGCTGGGTGGGGGGAAACAATTAATTCTTTTCTGAAGCAAAATATATTTTTTCTAAATAATTTTCAGGGGGCAACTTCTTCTCTTATTTATTATATGTCCCAGATCCCCCGTACCCACTACGCCCTACCCCTGAATACCTAATGTGATGAGTGGTTGTCATACCACATTCATTCATTACCCAATGGCAGACTGGGTGACTTGCTTGATTTACAGGCCATGTCATGAAGCTGGAATATTGCTGAGTTTAGTGTTCCAAAACAAACAAGCACACATTCACACATTCCGTACACCTTCTCTGCAGATAATTTTTCAACATTTTGACAAATAATTTATATACATCAGCCAGTTTCTTAGTACTAGAGGGCGGTTGTGTAGCCTAGTGGTTAAAGTGTTCGCTCGTCATGCCGAAGACCCGGGTTCGATTCCCGACATGGGTACAATGTGTGAAGCCCATTTCTGGTGTCCCCTGCCGTGATATTGCTGGAATGTTGCTAAAAGCCGCGTAAAACCATACTCACACACTCATTCTTAGTACCAGAATCCGCCTTCACAAAGTTTCTCTCTTAACAGTTCATGCATATACATCAGTTCTGTTTCCAGAATACATGGCTGCCAATCTATGGAAAAAATGAAGCTTCAGAAGTGTACCACTATCCCCCAACACGTAATCAAACAGACACACAGCCATTTGGACAAGCACAAACTGGAGCACTCACAGATAACCCAACACAGATTGCTCAGTCTCATTTTCAAAGTGGAGTACATAGTGTTGATGAAGGAAGACATCTTTTGCGAAGTGTACCAGCAAACCCACCTATTATCCAATCTCAATCAAGATCAAATGAAATTCATCGGCAGACAGGATTATACCAGAGCCATGTCTCCACACATGCTGGAGAAATAAACCATGACAAGAAATTACCCAGGGCAAGATCTAGATGGGATCAGCAGTCACGTGTCACCAATGCCAAAGGTTCACCTTTAGTTCCAAACCTAAAGACTCCATCTTCACTTCCAGTTTCTGAATTGTTCAAGCAGTTGAGTGCTGCATCTAGGTGGGATCAGCAGTCACGTGTGACCAATGCTAATGGTTCACCTCTACACCCAAACCTCAAGACTCCATCTGCACCAGTTTCTAAACTTAACAATCAGCCGTTTGCTTTAGGCTATAGTGCATGGCATACATTTGATAACCAGGCTACCAAAGTCTTCTCAGTGTCAAACTCTCCAATCCTGACTTCTTCCACCGCTCCAGTGATGTCCTCAAGCCAGAAGTGTATGCCTAACTCTATAATGATCCCCTGTTCAAACTCTCCAATCCTGACTTCTTCCACTGCTCCAATGATGTCCTCAAGCCAGAAGTGTATGCCTAAGTCCATAATGATCCCCTGGTCAAACTCTCCAATCCTGACTTCTTCCACCGCTCCAGTGATGTCCTCAAGCCAGCAGTGTATGCCTAACCCTATAATGATCCCCTGTTCAAACCCTCCAATCCGGACTTCTTCCACCGCTCCAGTGATGTCCTCAAGCCAGCAGTGTATGCCTAAGTCCATAATGATCCCCTGTTCAAACTCTCCAATCCTGACTTCTTCCACCGCTGCAGTGATGTCCTCAAGCCAGCAGTGTATGCCTAAGTCCATAATGATCCCCTGTTCAAACTCTCCAATCCTGACTTCTTCCACTGCTCCAATGATGTCCTCAAGCCAGCAGTGTATGCCTAACTCCATAACGATCCCCTGGTCAAACTCTCCAATCCTGACTTCTTCCTCCGCTCCAGTGATGTCCTCAAGCCAGAAGAGTATATCTAACGCTCTGCAACAATCAGCATCTGCAACCAACTTACCAGGGGATTCATCCAGTGTCACAAATATGAACACTTTACCAGGGACAGACTTTTATTTCAAAGCTTTGTCCACAATTCCGGTACTATCCACAGTAACACAGTCATCATCCGTGTCAAACATCCAAACCTATTCTACAGGAGAGACATCTTGTTTCAGCAATATGAACACTTCCCCAATGTCAAGCCTTACATTTCAGACCCTGCCTCCAGTGCAGCTGTTGCTCTCAACCCTGCAGACAGTACCTGCTCCTCACCCTTCAGGACCATCAGGGAAGCCACCTCAGATGTCGCCTTCAAGAAGACTTCCGAGCATAGCAACGCTTCTTCCAAATCCATTGCCATTGATGTCCTGTCGCATGTCAAATCCTGAACACTCATCAGTGGATATGGCAAAACCCCAACTTCGCTTAAGTCTGCTGCAGACACAACTAAACAGTCCCATGTCTGTTATTGGACCACAGGCATTGAATGTGATGCTTCCTACGGTGGAAAATCCATGTCCCAACCAGCCAAACAGTCCCATGTCTGTTATTGGACCTCATGCATTGAATGTGATATCTGGTTCAGTGGAAGATTCATGTCCCAACCAGGCTAACAGTCCGATGTCTGTTATTGGACCTCATACATTGAATGTGATACCTGGTACGGTAGAAAATCCATGTCCCAACCAAGCTAACAGTCCGATGTCTGTTATTGGACCACATACATTGAATGTGATGCCTCGTACAGTAGAAAATCCATGTCCCAACCAGCCAAACAGTCCGATGTCTGTTATTGGACCTCAGGCATTGAATGAGATACCTGGTACAGTGGAAAATTCTTGTCCAAACCATCCAGACAATTTTTGGGCAGTTAAACAACAGATGTCAGGAAATGTTAATGATCAACCTCTCCTGACAAGTAGCTTCTCTTCAAACAGGGATCAAATCAACACATCAGAGAATGGAAAAGTCAGGTTTACAATTAAAAGACATCATAAATCCCTTGATCAGAACTCTTGGAATGTTGGAGGTGCCTTCCCAAGTCATCAAGGAGGATTGTCACACATGTGTACAGGTCAGAAATGCCTTGAGAAAGGAATAACACCAGAGGCCGGTAAAAGACTTTTGATGGGTAAGAGATGTCAAGACAGGAGTTTCAGAAAAACGAAAACTGTGTCTGAGACCTTTTCACATTTAGAGGAACTTAAAACGAAGAGTTACAAACAAAAATCAGATGTTGATTTGAATATCTTGGCAGGTGTTTCCAATAAACCAGAGGTAAAAGTGGAAATTGAAGACTCTTCTTCCCATGAGGTTTCTGCCAAAGTTGGAACAGCATCAGAACTTTTGATACAGCCTGGGGTTTCTTCAGAATTGTTATCCCAAGAAAAGGTAATTGATGATAAGGTATCGGTTTCTGCTCCAGAAAGACGGCCAACAATTCTATGGGACAAAGATGTTTCAGATCATGTAGGACCAACATCAAAACAAAATGAAATGACATTTTCACACAAAATTCCATTCCCTACTTCTGCAAGTGTTGCACCAAAGCAAACAGAATCTGATTTATGTTCCACAGTCAAACAAGGAACAGTTTCCAGAGAAAAGTTCCCTGGTACTTTTTCAGTGAATGTGAGAGTAGCATCATTGAAACAGAAAGACCAAGGTCGTTCTCAGGGATCAAATGTGTCCACACTGTTGAAACCAGTGTTAGATTATAATAGCTGGGCTGCATCATTACTAAAGCATCCAGTAGCCTCAACTTCAAAAGGTAATGATCTAAGTTCTCTACTGAATGTCACATCAACCTCTCCACCTTCCAGAGAACAGGATTCCTTGTCAGCAGCATCTCAAAGACCAACTGCTGGTTCTGCAGGAGAGCCAGCATCAAGAGGGTGTTCTCTATCACAGCAGCGCCAAAATTCTGATGAAACTGGAGTACTAACTTCAATTCATGTGCAGGACATAGCTGACCCAGGTTCAAAAATATATTACAGGTGCTCTCTATTACATGATGGTGACAATTCAGCTGAAATTGGTCCAGCATCTGAAAGGAAGAGCTGTGGTCCTTCTAAGGAAGTGCAAAATGCTGGTGATCAAGAATTATCATCAAGAGTAAATGACAGCTGGTTATCTTCATCCCATGATGTCCCGGATTCCTTTGTTGTGGGATCTACAAAGTCTCAACTGGAAGGCAGTTTGCCATCATTACAAGATGATGGTACTGTAGATCCTACCCTTCCTGAAACCTTGGATGGTGGACAGAAGCATGAACATTGTCCATGTGAAGGTGATGACAATGATGCTTCACATGAGACAGCTGAAAACAACACTAATTTTGATGACATAGAAACTGGCAGCAAATGGGAATATGGTGAGTCATGTGCAAGAGCTCAATATCGTCTCAGTAACAATCGGAGGATAAACAGAAGTGCTTTTGAACAAATGCTGGTTATATTATATACCAATAAAAAGCCAGGGTTGATCTATGTAAACAATAAGGACAGGAAGGTGCCATTTGCATCTGATGTTGGTGGTGAACTTGGCTTTATTAGTCCATGGGTAACTGTGATGAAACCTGACTTGGACAACCAAGAAATGATTGATGTTGAGACTGTGTTAGCTGATGAGGACCTTCGGCAGAGTGAACATGAGGTGGACGTCCGGAACACAGAGTGCCTGAAAGTGGAGTCGTCTACCTCAAACACTGCAGTGAAATCTACACAACAGATGCTCCAGGGTAAGACTGTTTCAAATGGAACAAAGAAAAGAAAAAGAAAATCCATTGATGACCTTAAAAAGAAAAGATTTAATAAAAAGTACAAATCACAGCAAGATGATTTGTATCGTTCTCCATGTTACAACAGAAAACTTGCATCAGAGCTTCCAAGAAGATGTTCCAGATCATTTACAAGAAGATCAGGAGGGAGGGAGATCTCCTCAGAAGAGGACAGTAGCAGAGAACCTTGCAGTGTACCCATTGACAGTAACCAAGAGTTCCAGAGACGTAGAAGTACCAGATTAGTTATCAAAGACAGCATTAGTTCTCAGGACAATGGATGCAGTTGTGATAGATTGATTAGACAGAGACGTTCTAGTGTTCATTCATGCTTTGCATGTAGTAGAACAGACACACATTGTACAGGAGATGTCAAGAACATCACAGACCCCTCCAACAGGTCCAGTGGAGGACACAGACGTCGAAGTACCAGATTGATTATCAAAGAAAGTATAGTTGAGGAGTGGGTGAGGACAACTGGAACACAATTACAAAAAGAAGAAATTGCCCCAAATCCTTTAAAGGACTTGCCATTTGATGCAGATGCCACTCCCTCCCAGACACGGATGTTTTATGTTTGTGGATCTACTTGTGGATTTTCGAGTCTCTACGGGGATGAGCTCAAGATGCATGCTTCAGTCTGTACATTACCTGGTGCATTGGATTGTCATCATTGTGGATTTACAGCCAGTGATGGAGATGCTCTTGTTGCTCATGTCCATAACCACTCTGACAGGTATGGAAATCTGCATGAGTGCAGCGTCCCAAATTGCGAGTTTGAAACAAACGTGTTGCACTCGTACCAAACACATGTTCAGGAACACCATCCACTTGTCACAAGACATGTATGTAATGATTGCAAAAGTGTTTACAGCGATATGGATGGCCTGATCCAGCATGTGCATGACAACCTACTGCTCATCGTGTGGTGTAAGTACTGTGATGCAATAGCTTGTGAGGAGAAGGTGATTCTGGATCACATTGAGAAGGTGCATCAAAAGTCTCTTGGGACTTGGACAATGAATGAATTGCTTTGTGGTGAAAGAAAATATGTTGCGAAATTAGTCACACAGCTGCATGAGAATCCATCTGTTGGGGTGGGTAGTCTTCCTGGGAGCTTCAGTGACTGTTTTGAAACATCAGATGCCAGTGTAGAAGATCAGGATGTGGATATGGTTAGTTTCCTGTCAGAAGTGGAAAGTGACACTCTTCAGGATTGTTTTGTGAGCAATTCCACAGAAAGAATCTTTCCACAGGAAGCTGGTGTGGCTTCTAATGAATCAAGCAGTGACGATAAGAACAGATTTCCATCATGGTAACACAGATGTTGATGGTGGTTCATAAACATCTGCAGTTGCCAGCAGTCCAGAAAATACTTGTTCAAAGTAAACCTCATACCTCTGAACTCATCACAAGAATACCCCAGCTGATTCTTAGGCTACAACAACCAAGCCAGGGTGATGTCACAGAGTGATCTTAGTCCTTAGGCTACAACAACCTAGCCAGGGTGATGTTACAGAGTGATCTTAGTCTTAAGATGATCATAACACTCATACTTCTACATATACTTACAATAGTCCTAGGCCTAAGGTCATTTTGGGGGGTGGGCCTTAAGGGCAGTGGTCCACATAGTGATCTTAGTACTACGATGATCGTAACACCCATACTTCTGCATAGACTTACAATAGTTGTAGGGCTAAGATTGTTTTGGGGAGTGGGGCCCAGGGATATGTTCCACAAAGTGATCTTTATCCTACAATGATAATAACACCCATACTTCTGCATAGACTTACAATAGTTGTAGGGCTAAGATTGTTTTGGGGAGTGGGGCCCAGGGATATGTTCCACAAAGTGATCTTTATCCTACAATGATAATAACACCCATACTTCTGCATAGACTTACAATAGTTGTAGGGCTAAGATCGTTTTGGGGAGTGGGGCCCAGGGCAATGTTCCACAAAGTGATCTTAGTACTTTGATGATCGTAACACCCATACTTCTGCATAGACTTACAATAGTTGTAGGGCTAAGATTGTTTTAGGGAGTGGGGCCCACGGCAATGTTCGACTTTCATATGTATAAACATTTATATAGGATTTCATGTTTCAAGCAAATAGGGAAAATCTCATTTTGCCCAAAGTTGATGTTCCATTCAGAGGTCTTTCATTGCATATTGTACAACTCTTTCAATTATTAGTAGCAACATGTAAATCAGGATGCATTAAATTTTGGTCAGAATTTAACTGCGGATGCGAACATGCTTTGTATTGGAAGCAATTTTATGTTTTGGGCATCTCAGGGACAACACAAAAAGCATATCTTCTCAATAGCCCCGGGGCATATTTTTGAGACATTTATCTGTCATGTTGAGGTCATCCTAAGGTAACGACAGTGTTGTGCTACAGTAGTAGGTCACAGTGACCTATATTGTAGTATATGTTATTTTCATTGTTACATTGACTTCCACCTTAAATTGGCAAATACTTTCTGTTAAGTTTTCGTTTGTCCTGTTATCACCTTTGCCAAACTTATTACATTGTCATAATAACATGATGTAAGAAATGTTGAGTTTTATGTTTTGGAGTTTTATCTGACATTTGCTGTAGACCTGTGGCAGAAAAGCAACCTCTGAGATCAATACACTGAGTATGTACCCAGCCATTGAAATTCAAACATTCATGCCATAGGACAAGTAGAAATCCCATCATGGTAGATCTCATAGACCTGTAGCATTTGTGGGCTATAATTCTGAATAAGTTCTCAATGCTTCAATTTTGCTACAAATTGGAACTGAACAAAACAATGGACAGAAAATGAATACATAGTAAAACATTATGGTCTCATTCAAGCAGGACCAGGGGCAGTCAGGTAGCCTAGTGGTTAAAGCGTTTGCTCATCACGCCGAGACCTGTGAAGATCCGAGGTAGAATAGGTCTTCAGCAACCCATGCTTGTCATTACAGGCGACTAACCGGATCGGGTGGTCAGGCTCACTGACTTGGTTGATGCATGTCATTGTATCCCAATTGCGGGGATAAATGCTCATGATGTCAATCACTTGTCTGGTTCAGGCTTGATATTTTACAGATCACTGTCATATAGCTTGAATATTGCTGAATGTGGCATTAAAAAACAAAAACTAACTAGTGAAATAAATAAACATCTCCAATGTTATGTTTCTTCATAATAATTACTATATTGTCAATACATCACATTCCTCCATCATCAGACCCGTGAAGATCCGGGGTAGAATAGGTCTTCAGCAACCCATGCTTGCTGTAAAAGGCGACTTGCTTGTCGTAAGAGGCGTCTAAGGGGATCGGGTGGTTAAGCTCACTGACTTGGTTGAAGCATGTCATCGATCCCAATGGCGTGGATCGATGCTCATGATATCAATCACTGGATAAATTATGTACAGACCGCCGTCATATAGCTGGAATATTGCTGAGTGCGGCGTAAAACAACAAACCAACCAGCCTCCATCATCAGTGAATAACATGCAGTGTTGTAGTGATGTATATCTGTTTTTAGGATGAGTATTGCTCACAAAAGTCAAGTGAGTCTGCTGTGTGCATGAACTTCTTATAAAGTATCACGAACAAGAGTGAGGTCTTGGTGGGAGCTGTAAGATCTGAGTGGGGGAATAGGTCAAAAGTTTTGAGAGCAAAAAGGCCCGAGGTGTTCCTTTTCAACCTATCCCCCCGAGGTCTTACTACTCAACAAGACTGAATTTGACTTATGATCCAACATCTTCTTAGACGGATACATGCATTAATCAAACCACACAGTAAGTCCTGGCTATGTATGTTCACAGTCGCTCCCGGCTTCATGCTTGAGTTCAAGTACTTGCTTAGAGGAGAAAACCCTATAGAGAACAATGGCATGACTTCACTCAACCATTGCCTGACATTAAGGCATGAGTAGGGGATATGGCTGCAAGGCTATGGCACATATTGCATGAGAGATACTGTCAATTGGTCGAAGCGTTCGCAGGTTTTCCTCACTGGATCCAGAAAGTGGCTCGATTTGTTGGCTAACAATATCAACGTAGGACTTTGTTTTCATAAGTTTTTGTTTGTTTGTTGTTTTATGCTGCACTCAGCAATATTCCAGCTATATGACGGCGGTCTGTAAATAATCAAGTCTAGACCAGACAATCCAGTGATTGATATCATGAGCATTGATCCACTTATTCATAAGTGATAGAGGAACAGTGTGTATACAAAGTCTTGATAATGTACTGCAAATCATGAAATTAATGTCACCAAATTAATGCAAGTGTCAACACCTTGCCTGAAGTGTGTCATGAAATTAATGCAAGTAGCTCTGCCTTTGAGTGAGTGAGTGAGTGAGTGAGTATGGTTTTAGCAATATTTATATATACACACACACACACACACACACACACACACACACACACACACGGGACATGTATTGTAATTTCCATGAAATCAAACCAGGAAATTCCAATTACGGCTTATTCAAAAGGCCAGGTCACCAACGAAGATTGTGGAGATCCTAATCTATGTGTTGATGCAGGAGTTAGCGCAATCCTTTGAAAGTATGTGAGCAGTGTTATGTATTCACAAGACTGCTTTTACTGTACAGGACATGCTCACTCCGATGGTGAGCAGTGTTTTGCTTGTAATTATGAGATTATTTGACAGGTTACCAAGAACAAAGACGCCATCATACACATTTAGCGATCATCATAACTGCTTGATGAATGTGACACCTTTATTGCCGAGAAGCTTTTAATATAATGCTCAATTACATTGCTTGATGTGAGCTTTTTCCGCCCATTTGCAGTGAAGCTCACATGACAATATACTCCAGTCTGTCCAGATACAAATGTGTCACTTTACTAATTTGAGCAAGAAAAACTCACATTTTTCCTCGCATTAGTTTCCTGATTTACAGAAATGACCAGTCCTATTCATAGAATCTGGAACTTTAAGTAAAATGACCCTAAAATGTAGGAAGGAAGGAAAAAAAAGGTGAGAACGAGATAAAAGTGTTGCAAGTGAAATGATTGGTCGCTGCAGGAAGAAAACAATTTATTGTGACCATTGACAGCATTAAAATGAGTTTCCGACTTCCTCATTCATATAAAGAGCACAAACAGCGTTGATAATGTTATGTCTTTTTTATCAATGGCACTTATCATTTTTAATACCGGTGTAGAATAGGACTTCAGCAACCCATGCTTGCTGTAAAAGGCGACTATGCTTGTTGTAAGAGGTGGCGAACAGGATTTGGTGGTCAGGCTCGCTGACTTGGTTGATGCATGTCATCATATCCCAATTGCGTGGATCGATTCTCATGATGTCAATCTCTGGATTGTCTGGTCCAGACTCGATTATTAACGGACCAGTGTCATAAAGCTGGAATAATAATAACAAGAACTGTATATAAAAATTGAAAAAGTTATAATTGGTTTTCAAAGTTATTAATTGATGGAATAAGTTTTTTAATCTGTATGAATTATTTCTGTTGTATAGGTTTTGTAATGGCGAATATGACATTTGGAAAAAGGATGTCTTATTTCATTATGTACTTAAAAAGGCTGTGGTGTCCCTTTTTATGGTCTAATGTTTTAAAAGAGGTGTTCCTTTAACATATTAAAAGGTTTTTAGATGTTATCGTATCCCAAATGCTTAGAGCGATGCTCATGATATCAATCACTTGATTGTCTGGTCCAGACCCAATTATTTACAGACCGCCGTCATATAGCTGGAATATTGCCGAGTGCGGCATAAAACAACAAACCAACCAACCAACCCTTTCTCTATTGAAAAATGGCTTGTGATAGTGTCCCTTGCTTTTAATATAATGCTCAATTACATTGCTTGATGTGAGCTTTTTCAGCCTATTTGCAGTGTACCTCACATGACGATATACTCCAGTCTGTCCAAATACCAATGTGTCACTTTACTAATTCAAGCAAGGGAAACTCCTTTTCATCTTTCCTGCACTTAATTTATTAATTTGCAAGTTAAAAGTTTTGTTAATTCTATATTTTATACTTTCTAATTTGTTGAAGATGGTGAGTCAGTAAGTATGGTTTTATGCCAGTTTTACAAATATTCCAGCAATATGACGGCAGGGCACACCAGAAATGTGATTCACACGTTGTATCCATGTATCCGTGTGGGGAATGGAATGTGCGCCTTCAGTGGAAGAAGCACACGCTTTAACACTCGGCAACCCCACCACCTCTCACATAGGATAGAGCCATCTAAAAGATGAAACTATATTTAAACTATTTCTGTGATTTGTTTTTTATGATGGCCTTGGGTTTCCAGTCAGTCTAAATTGTGAAGTCTTATTTAATGTTTTTTTATTTCTTTTATCCCTTCAGATCAGATTTTTACAGTGATGTTTTCACAGACCATCAATAATAATGATTGCGTCTTCACATCTTCTTGATTCATTCCGTATGATTTCAATATTGATAAAATATCCGCTCATCTAGAGTCTTGAAGCATTCCATGCTACACAATGGTGCCATTAGCAAGGAAGTGTGTGTTGACGGACATACCTCAGGGATTTATCCCAGATTTTGGACTAAGTGCACTTGGCAGGCAATTTGAGGAAAAAATCGTTATTTTGCTCAAATTGGTTGGTGAAACACAAGTCACTTCTACGAAAAAAATTCATTTCTTGTTATTGGACTTAGATGAGGAAATTGGTGAATCCATTTGGGGAATTTTTTGACTGCTTGAGTTTTGGGGCGGAACACAAGGCCTCTGAGCAGGTATAGATAAATCCCTGAACCGTATATGATGTGTTGGTAAACTATTACATTCACAGTCAAAGCCTGCATTGAATATGCCCTCATCATACCGTATTCGACGTAATAAGCGCCCAGGGTGCTCTCAAAATTAGAAATAGGGGGCCCTTATTAG